CGGGTGGTGGAGCGAAAGGCAGCTTGTCCGTATTGTGCGCACTCAGAGCTTGCTCTTCGTCGCTTAGAGATTTGAGAAACGGTCTGGCATCAGTCGCGTTAGTCTTGGAAGGTTCAATATAAGTAGATGCGGCCGGGAAATCAGGAAGGCGGTTGTGTTGAGCGTTGATGGAAGCCATTCTCAGGCGCTCTTCAAGGCTCGCGCCACTAGTCGTGCTACTAGCTTTGTCCTCGTCTCGACGCTTCATGTTGACAGGATTCAAGTTGGATGGAAGACATGGAGAAAGCGAGTCGCCGGGGCGATGGGAAGGAACGACAGACAACAAGCCTCATTCTTTCTTTCCCAAGAGTCGCGGGTCTGGTCCAATTGTCTGAACAGTTGAAGAAATTCACAGCGCTGGCCTCCTTTGTACCTAGACAAAACAGCGAGAGAAGGACGGACTCACCATTCATCCACGTTCAGAATATCCACGTTTGTTAAATCCTGCTCACAGTGATGGTTCACCCTGACGGCATGATGACTGCATGGGCGACTTGCTCAACCAGAATAAACTCTTTGGAGGTGTCCTATAATACCCATCCGCGATTCTGAAGCAGTCAGGAAGTGTGAGAACCCTAGGCCAAGCATCAAGGAGACAGCAATTTACAACTGGAAGAGAGGGAGCGAAAGAATCAAAAGGCTCGGGAGAAGGGAAGAATTGTCCAAGAGCGGCCGAGGAGGCAACTACAGCCACAGCTCTGCTTCTTCCTCGACTTGTCTGGGGAACCAAAAGGTATGCATTTGATCGACTGTGCGCCGCCAAAAGCTTGCGAGATGCGCGATGTCGAGGTGAACCATCGGCACGGAAGTATATTTCTCCGTCACACGGGCTACGGCGGCGTGTAGCGGCGGGCAATGAAGTAATACGGTCGGGTGTTAACTCACGGGGACGCCAGACCGTTGAGCCGTTGAGACGTCCAAGGATGCCTTTCAAAAGCAGCACCACTCTTCTCGGCCTCCGTGAGAGAATCAATAAACATGCATGATGCATCTGCGGTCATCAATATTCTCACGACGTCAATGTGAGCTTACAAGCACCAAGCACCCAATAGGGGGGGGTGTGTGTTGTGAGTACTTGGTATCTCGTACTCAGTAGTTCTGATGCATTTGACTACAAGTGGTAAGGAGGATTGTCCCTTTTTGGTTATATTCCGCCGTGGCGTTGGGTTAAAGACTCTCATGAATGAGTCTGGTTCTCGGCACTCCCTTCATCGCCGCAGAGAACCTGGATGGCGACGGCGACCTCTCATGCCCTGCGCCTTCCCCTCCAACCCCCAAAACACCACGACAGGACCGCGAACGAGGTTGGGGGGCAAAAATACGGGAGCGTCGCGTCCGTGTGAACGCGCACACGAGGACCCAGAGTGTCAGCACGACAATTTTGAGGACAATTCTCGGACATTGCGGCCGCAATGACGGCAGAGTCCAGCACGACACGGGAGGCTGGTGCAAGAGTCACGATAGTCTTTGAGTACCTTATGAATAAGAGCTAACAGAGCCAACCATGGCGGAAACCATTTGCCGCCAAGGCCGTCTTTCCGGCTCATCCCTATTGTCCTTGTCACCGCTTGAAGCATTAGGAATGGCAATTTAAAGTTGGAAAATACGGCTCCCATGTGGACTAGGCCAAGCAAGCCAGGTTTTCCTGTGCCTGGATGGCGCCACGAGGCTTCAGGTGGATGATCGTCATTACAGGGTACTACTACAGTATCTCGCTATTCTCCCTTCCAGCACATTTCAGCTGCTCGTGTTGAGAGCTGATTACCAAAAGCATTCATCACATGCATAGACATGCTGCGCAAAATGAGCAGCCTGTGGGCACCGGCAACCCGACTAGGACCTGCTTATTGTTCGTTCTTCTCACCCTCCTCCACCACCCCTTATTGCGCCCTTTGTTTGGAATTTTCTTCGTACATACTCAGCCGTCGCACGCCAGCCAGCGGAATGCACTATGATTAACGATTGTCAGTCTGACATAATGCTACGCTGGCTGCCGGTCTAACGCCAGGCTTACCTCTTCGGCATGGCTCCCGTCCAGCCCGTCCTCGCCTCCCCTGGGTCCTGGCTCCATTTCCTCCCTTGATGTCAAGGCTGCGTGCTCCTCTCATCGCGTATCCACTCCTTCTTTCACCATTTATCATAATCCGACTCCTACCCGTCCATGTTGGAAAATTTCCTGCGCGCTGCAGAGAATTGGTTGTGACGCTGTGACTCATTTATACTGGATGTGTTATTGACATTGACGGTTTTGCGCATCTCCAAGCTGGTCGTGTTGGTCGCCAGCCACGGGACCATGGAGTCATCCCCGTTTCCGCAGCCTTGTCGGCTTCTGACCCTTCCAAATGAGGTCAAACTCCATATCGTCAACTATGTGCGCCTTCGGGGAACTGTCTGAGAGAAATCGTGTAGCTGACAAGTCTCCAGCTTGATACTCGCAGAGACCTTTACAATTTGTCCCTCACATGCCGTGTCCTAGAGGACATGGTCATGACTCGGCTCTACCACACCGTCGATTTCCATCTCCCTCAATCTCCAATGCACGGAACAACCGCATTCCGGGAGCCACTCATTCATTCTGTCCGAGAGCTCATAATCAGAAATGACAGGACGCGGAGGAGGAATTCGGTCTACAAGCGCAGGAGAATATCCGATGTGGCTTCCATCGAGGGACATGTGAATAGCCTCCTGGAGAAAGTCCCTACCGGTCAAATGACGAGTTTCGCGTGAGTGAACTGCGCAGAGACCGAATTTGCTCGTGCTAATTATGCCAGACTCTTCCATCAGACTCCCCTGAGTCGGCAAACGCTGGCCTTCCTCACCCAGCGACAGGGGAGGACGCTCCAGCGCCTCCACTTCTACGATGTCTCTTCCTGGAAAGAAGGCACGCTCATTCCGAAAAACCTGACGAGTCTCGAGGCTCGCACAGTCAATGATGGGGAAGCCGTTGAAAAGATCATATCAGCCAATACGAAGTCGATCAAGAGACTGTCGCTGGGACAAGAGAAACAGCTGATCGAGCGATACCAGCAGAGCAGGCTGAGTTTCCTTCACCAAATCCCGCAACCAATGGAGACATTCTTCAACTCTGCATATGCGCTGGACACATTCCCTCAGCTTCGTGACCTCTCCCTACAAGGTCTGGACGTGACGCCCCTGCGGCCGTCCTCCATCCCTCATGCCTTGTTCTTCTGCCAACTGGAGCGTCTCACCCTGGAATCTTGCCCTGGTAGCAATGAACTCCTCGAATCCATCGCGGGAACGTTCCACTGGACATCGACATCCCCTGAGGCGCCTCAAAACCCACGTGTCAACCCATCGCTGAAACACTTCCTATTCCGCCACGAAAACCCCACAAGCCCGCTCAAGGATGCTCTCGTCCGCTTCCTCAACTCGTTCACCGGCCTCCGGACCTTGTCGCTTCTATTTGAAAACGGCGCCATATTGGAAAGACCGAGCACATTCATTGCCGAACACGGTCCTACCCTTGAGACCCTAGTATTTGAATCCCGCATTCAACCACGTGAACATCTCTCAATGGACACTTCCCGTCCCTTCGGCGTGGGGGGATACAGCCATGATCTGTGGGAGGAGTCAATCAACGACATCGCGCGCCTCTGCCCCAATATGGTAGAACTGGGCATGGGCTTTCCGTGGAACGATGAGATGATCCGACTGCGAAAGACGGCTCTCCCGACTCTACAGCATCTGAGAACCATCCACATTCGCAATTTCCCCGAGAACCAGGTATTTAGCCAACTTGGGGATTACAGCATCAAGGAATACGCAACCAAATTCGTCGAATGGGTCTTTCCTTCCTTGGCCGGAGGAGCCAAACCATCCCTAGCACACCTCGCCGTCGGGCCGACGCTGTACGAGTCGCGGTGGAACATCACGCCCTCGCCACCGTCCATCGCTACAGGCGGCGCAAATGCATCCAGCGCTACTCAGCGCCTGCAGCAACAACTGACGGCGCGCGCCCAGCCGCCCGAGTTCCTGCGCACACACCACTTCTGCCTCGACTGGGCCCAGACGCGCTTCAACCGCTGGAGCTGTCTGATCACGCCCGTCTCGGAGAAATACATGGAGGAAATGGCCGGCCAGAAGCCTCTGGGCGGCGTCTTTGAACAAGTCTGGTTGAAATGAAATGAATCAGATGAAATGGTTTGACCCAGCCCAACCCGACTCGACCAGATCAAACCCAACCCAGGGGCAGATTAGTAATTAGCTGCTAGCGCCCCCTACATCTCTCTCTCTCTCTCTCTTGACCTTTATTTTCTCCTGGCGTCGGCGTCTTGACTACATATCCGAGGATATTTCAACTCGGCCAAGTACTCCGTCCTTTGGCTAGGGGGCGCATTTTGCATCACCACCACCATCACCACCGTCGCCGCCATCCTTTTCTTGGTTGTTATCATTGTTACCATTGTTGCAAATTACCAGCGAAACGATACCCATATAGACCGACCCCCTCTGCGATCCAATTTTGAATTTTTTGCAAGATCTAAGCCACATAGATGAACAAACCAATGCAAAAGAATGTCGAAGATAAGCTTTGAACCCAGCATACATGTATGCGTATTAAGCACGTACAGCGACAGAGCCCCTCTTTCTGGTTGTAGAGACCTCGACAGAAAAAAAGGGGAGGGGGAAATAGAGTAACGGAATGAATGAATGAATGAACAATAAATAGCTTGCGAGGATCGTTGCGGTGTTACGTCTTACAGGCGTTGGATCCGAGTAAAGTTATCATTCTGTGTCCGTAGAGGGTACACATCGAGCACGGAAACTGCACCTGTGAAGAGTGTATGAGGACGGTGTACCGAGTATTACGGCCATGTGGGTGAGATATCCTAGTCTCCGTCCAATGCTGATTCCTTGCTTTGACCTCTGCAGTAGGTATGTCTGCACATACATACATCTTGCCTCCTCAGCGGCGTCTGAATTTCTGTCCCTAGTTTGCGTCACCCCTGGCCAGGGGTCCTGTGGTTGGCCTTTCGAGAAGCATGCAGTCTCCTCAGCCGTCTTGTTCGCAGATCGGCCAGGTCCCCAGCTGAGATTTGTCCCTTGGTGGAGCTCTCCTCTCGCCTCTGGTCGACGGCCTGCCGTATCTTTTGCTGTTTGAGGAGTTGATCCTGCTCCTCCACACCCTGTTCCAATTGCTTTGCCCCGCTGCTCTGGACGTGGTTGCTGTTTTCTCTGTTGGAGCCATTGAAAGATATGCGCTCACCTAGTTTGTAGTCCCATTCCCAGTCTCCAGACTTGCCGCCACTTTTCGCTGTGACCCGCGTCCCAGTCAAAACCATTTCCTTGTCGACGCCCTTAAGCATGTCGTACATGGTCAGTCCGGCCACAGACGCCGCGGTGATGGCTTCCATCTCCACGCCGGTTTTACCTTCACAGGCAACTGTGGCTGTGACCAACACACCTCCGTAAAGTCTTTTGATATCGTTGGGAGTAGCTGCATCGACTTTGCCCTCCGATAGTGGATATGGCAAGTTGTCTCCCATGAATGGCTCTAAGCGGACTGTGACGCCCGTGATGTTGAGGCCTGGATGAGCGAGAGGGATGAGATCAGATGTCTTCTTTGCCGCCTGAATGCCTGCTACCCGTGCCACAGCCAGTGCGTCACCTTTTCGTAGCCGCGACGCAAACAAAACCCCGTATGTCCCATAGTGAGAGAAAAGGAGTAAAGTTGTTGCTGTCGCGGAGCGGGAGGTTGGTTTCTTGTTGGCGATAGAAACCATATGCGCTTCGCCGTCAGAAGTGAGGTGGGTAAGAGTCGCATCCGTAGTGGATGATGTTGGGGACCCTTCCTGTTGCATTTCAGAGGATTGTTTCAGCGTTTCGCTCTCTCCCAACCGACCTGGTGTGCCACTGTTGCTGCGTTCTTTGGGACGGCTTCGGTAGTGGTAAATGCGCTTCACAATATCTCGAACTAGATATTGTCCATACCACTGCGCTTGAGATCTTGTTCTTCGAGTCTTAACCTGCAGTGTTCGTTGTCGGCTTTCATCCCAGGTGCGTACAGAAGTTGCGGGAATGTTTTCCGGCTCCTTGGTCGGTACGCGACGATACGAAGACTGGCCGTGCACATAGCGAAAAGGTTTATGCCTCAATCTCGCCAGCGAGGCTGAGTTGCTAAACTTCCTGAACCCAGCAGGCGATGTCGGAAAGAGCGAGGAAAAGCAGCGAACTTGATACGACGATGATGAAGGTGCAGATTGCTGCAGCACATGCATCGGTAGCGAAGATTGTTGGAAGGCAGTCATTGCATTAGAATACCTGAAAAGGGGTGTCCGCGGCGGCAAAGCTGGCAAAGGCTGTCCAAGAAGAGCATCATCTACGGAAACACAAAAGTCAGCTAAATCACTGACCAAAGAAATGGGCTGAAGACTGGATAAAGGCAGACACGAAATAGGTCTATATTCATCATATCCAAAGCTTTGGCATTGTGTACTGTGGTTCCATCGGGTCCTTTCGTCGTGACAGCAGCGTGAAGATCTGGGACAATGATGAGAATGTCAAGGCTTACCCACCGATAAGAATCATTGGTCTGTTTTTCATATTCTCCAGCTCACCAATTCCAGCATGTTTCTCCTTTTTGCGTTTCACCGCCATCCCAATGACATCGAGCAACCTTGCTTCCTTTTCGGATATCCCTCGTCCCTTAGTCCCGGAAAGCTGCTGGCGACGATCCATCTCAAGTTGTCGAATAGCTTCCATGGCTTCAGCGTCGATAGGTTTGCCGTCATTTGACTCACGCAGAATGTCACGAAGAGAAACTTCGGAATTTCCAAACAGGCAAACCTTGAGGTTTCCATCGGACGTGATTCGGAGGCGGTTACAAGTGCCGCAGAAGTTGTGGGTCATGGAGGTAATGAACCCAATTCGACCAGCGAATCCCGGGATTTTATATGTCTTGCTCGTGTCGTTTTTGTGGTCTTGTACCTTTTGAACATCAGGGTACCTCTGGCGGATGAGGGCCAGCATTTCCCTAAAGCTCAACATCTTTTTCTCCGACCATTTGTTGCCGTCAAATGGCATATACTCGATAAATCGCACCTCGAGGTCTTGGTTTCTGCCCAGCTCCACAAAGGGTAGAATCTCTCGTTCATTAAGACCCCGCATTACCACGCAATTTATTTTGAGTTTGATACCTGCGCCCAGTTTGTTCATCTCGAGTATACGGTTGATAGACTTCATGACTGCGTCGTGCCCGTTTCTCCGCGTCATGATGGTGAATTGGTAAGGATCGAGCGTATCCAAGCTCAAATTGACGCCGGTCAGCCCGGACTCTACCATGGGGTCGAGTTTTCGATGTAAGGATATGCCATTTGTTGTTATGCACAGTTCTTTGAGACCATTACTCCTTAATTTTCCAATTTGATGCATAAGATCCACAATATCTTTCCGCACCGTAGGTTCCCCCCCTGTTAACCGAATCTTGTCAACGCCCTGGCTCACGAACAATTCCGAGAGATATACAATTTCGGGAGTCGTGAGCAGGTGCGCCGAGGGAGAAAGCGGAACACCCTCCTCGGGCATGCAATAGAGGCATCGTAGATTACATCGTTCAGTAATTGAAATGCGCAGATAGTTATGCTGTCGGGAGTAGTTGTCGGTCAAAAAGGAAGAGAAAGGTCGGGGTTCAGCCTCATTTCGCAGGCTCTCGAGGCGCGGCCGCTCATCCTGCGGTGTCTGAGAACCCTGAGTCCGAATCGGATGTGTCTGCCATCGAGCAGTTTCGGCTGCGGGCGGCTGCGGCTGGGGGTTTGTAGTAGTAGACAACTGACGCTGAGGGTAGCGGGGAGGCTTCGAGTGGCGAAAGGACTGTGGTCTCGTTTGGCGCAAAAGAGTAGCAATCATCTGCTTGAAGCTGGCCTCGGCCATGGTGAAAACGACTCAAAGTTGCACAAGACCTCCAATATTAGCCGCCAAGGGGAAAGCAGAGTCTTTTTATCATTAGCAAAAATGAACTATTCGGGATAAATAATAAGGCATTGAAGGAGCAATCTTATACGCGGGTAACATGCCGACAACGGACAAAGTAACTGGCTTGGTGACTGGTGTATCTCAGATTGATCTTAGTCACCGTGCAGGAATTTAACGTCAATGCCTGGGCGGAGATGTGAGATGCGAGATGTGAGGAGAAGCGAAGAAGCAAAAGCAGCAACCAGATGTGGAAAACTCGCGCGAGATCCGTGCGAGCCGTGGGAGGCAGCTCGCCAGGCTGTACTGGGTACACGCCGGAGATGGTCACATGACTACATCACCAGCCACAGTCTCGCGCCACGTTTGCCACTGTCGCCACAAGTCGCCACACGTCGGTTTTAGAGCTTCGGTCTCGTGGTTGAGGGGCGAGTTGTCGGCCGAAGACTGTACCAAGTAAGGGACATTCTTTTTGTACCGAGTACGCTTACCTCGATTCCGCGTGAACTTCTTCCGGCACGGGTGATGGATCAAGCTATTAGATCACTCACAGTTGCAAGTCTTCATCAATTTAGATCCAAGTCTCAATGACTGTCGCAGGTCGCTGCGAACTGACGTTGTATTCTGGGTGACAGCAGAGGCGTGGCCATCTACCTACCTCGCTACACAATACTGGGTGCGTCGAGACGTCAACAGTCTCGGTGACAATCGTTCCAGGGGCAGAAAATAAGGAGGGCTCGTCTGATGAACCACCTTTGATCAGAATTATCCACATAGGCGGATCAACGTTTCGATAATTTGCAGCGGGTCCAGACAAGTTTCATATACCAAGTAGTTCTTGCCATCGTTTCGGAGCCACGGATGGATGTTCGCGCCTGAAGATTGAAGCGTTCGAAAGGCTAAAGGCTCAGTCTGATCGCTCATTCACCGGGGTCACGTGGGAATAAGAGACCGATTGTATGAGCCAGTGCATAATGCATCGGTGAGGTTTCATATTGCGGACAATGGAGCAGTGCCTGCCAGGGCGATTGCAGTGTCCTTGAGCCATCCGAGGCGTCGTATGATGGTAACTCGGTCTGTGCCCTGCCAATGCTTGGATTTCTTGGCCATCTCTTTGCAAGATTCATGGCAGCCTGAAGACGGAGGTGACTGGCCAGTCATTGGTGGAGATTGCATACAAGATGCGCTGATCACGGGGAGATGGAGCTGCCGATGCTCCGGACCCTCGTCGACTCTCGCAAGACATGCCCCAAAACCGGACCCGGCAAGCGACACGAGCCAGTCACAGGCGGTTCCAAGGGGGAGACAGTCCGACACAGCCTCAGCACTTGCTCCCAAGAAGCCCCAATTGTTGTGCTCTTAGGACTTACGGGCTGCTAGGCTCTCGTCAGGATGAGCCCTGCGCAACTACCAACTACTCCGTATGAGGTATTGTGGTCTGCCAACTTTCCCTCCCCTGCGGTTTTCCTGCTTTCCCTCCTCTCTCTCTCCCTTACTCCTTCCTCCCTGGCAACTTCTCACTTGAAACTCCTCAATCGTTCCCTCGTTCCCTCACCAACTCGCCCTTGCTACCATCTCGATCGAGATACAAACACCTTCACACGACGCCAGACGCAAGAATTTGAATGACATCGGCCTGAACCACCGCTTGGGAACCCTCTGTGCCTATTTTTAGGCTGTCTTGAAAACCCGCGTAGGCTCCCAGGCCACGCACCCCTCAAGTAAACCAACTCTCATCTCTGCAATGAGTTATTCTGCTTCACAGTCGAGCATGTCCCAACTCAACACCACCTTTGACCCTGACTACGATTCCTTCCTCAACATCGAGAATGACTTCACACCTGCAACCACCTCTCCAGACGTCAAGTCAGTCCCGATGCTGACCCCTCAATCGTCCATCCCAGGCTCTGCAACCTTTGCCTCGAGCTCGACTCCTACCACGTTCCCCGGACCGAGCTTCCAGTACGATCGCTATCACCAGCAGACCGGCATCCCCATCGGCGCCCTAGCCAGCACTTTCAACATCAACAAAGCGACTGGCTTGCAATACCATGAGGGAAATGGAGGCTTCATCATGCCCACCGAGACACTGAACATGCCATTGAGTGACTTGGACGAGTTTGACTTCTCCCGCAATCCCGCTGATATGGATTTCGAGACGGATTCGCCAAATGGTCTTCCCGCCATGTTCTATCCTGACGCAACATCTGGTCCGGCACAATTCGTCAGCCCGACCACTTTAGTGACCCAGAACAACACTGCTTCTACCCCGATCAAACGAATCTATCCTGGGATGCACAGCCAGCAGGCTGCTCAGGCCAAGGCTCAACAGGCTCAAAAGCAGGAACAGATGGCCCGACAACAGCAACATCGTCCGCAGAGCCAGAAACCTCTTCCGGGTCCAGCTCCGACAAAGAGTCAGCCAGCCAAGGATCCTCTTGTCGAAGAAAGCATCTCCAAAGTCTTGAATCGGATGAGGCAAGCTAGCGCTGTTTCCGTGTCAGATGAAGATACTTCCCCAGTGACTGGCATGCCCCACATGCCTCGTGTCAAGAAGGATGAAGATGATATGGATGAGGACGAACGTCTCCTGGCGAGCGAGGAAGGCAAGAAGTTGTCCAGCAAGGAACGTCGCCAACTTAGGAACAAGGTGTCTGCCCGTGCATTCCGTTCCAGAAGAAAAGGTATGCCTCACGCTTCGATCTCACACTCGACGTCTACTAACTCCGTCGTCAGAATACATTTCTCAACTGGAAGGAGAGGTTGCCGCCAAATCTCAAGAGGCCAACGATCTGCGTGCTCAGAATCAGCAACTACGCGAAGAGAACAACCGTCTCACAGACCTCACGCGCATGTTGCTCTCTTCACAGGCCTTTTCCGGATTTTTGCAGGAACTCAGCCAGTCTAGCTTGCCAGCGCCGAATGTTCAGAACAACCCTCAGCAGCAAAAATCTCTCCAAAACAAACCCCAACCCCAATCCCAACCCCAGCCTATGAAGAAAGACATCGGCTCAGATGAAGCTGCCCACCAAATGCAGCTTCAGCAGCCTCAAGTAGGGATGGCCTTGATTCCAGACACTCCCGTTGATTTCTCTGCACTCCAACCGTCGAATGGCTGGATGAATGCTCTTCCCACCAATGACTTCCAAGTTTACGCTGTCACCGAATTACCAGAACTGCCTGTGCTCGATCTAGAAAATCTATCGGGAAAGCCCAAATCAAGCAAGGGCTCAAGCAACGGATCAAAAGATGCACTCCGTCTGCCGGACATCCCGAGCCAGGTGGCAACTTCCACGCTGCCAGAGACGCCTCAAGTTGACGACTCTATTCCTCTCGACCGAGACAGCTTTGCATTGTACTTTGATCACCCTGGACCTTGCTCTGACGATTTCTGGACAGTCACCAATCCTGCTCAGCAAGATACGGAACTCTCTGAAGAGGAAAGGGCGGCTAATCTGAAACGGCTGTGCCATGATCTTGATGAGACTTGTGACAAGCTCGCCGAGTACACGGCACATATGAGATGAAAGTTTGTTCTAGCGATGAAGAGCATCCCGAAGGGTGCTCGCCAGAGTGATACAATAGCTTGACTAGGCGGCGAAAGTTTTTAATGCTCATTTTTGGCTCTGTTGCCTGTGTATAGAGTTTTCGAATCATTCTTTTTCCATCATGTCCTATCTCTAGGTCCTGTAATCCCAAGTCATGAGCAGGTAGAAACCTTGAGTGATTGCATTTGGGATCTGTCGCCTTTTATGCGGATTCTCTTAGGCTGGAAAGCTGCACGATTTGACTCACGAATCTGTACCTCGTATTCGTTAGTAGTATTATGAGGGACTCGGTATTAATATGGGGAGAGAAAGGGCAGAGAGGGGTGACGGAGGGCGACTTCGCAGCCTCGTCAACTGCAGTGACCGGGAACTTTTTTGACCTCTACCTCCGTAGCTGCCATCGCTGAAAACAGTGCACTTCGTTTCAGACGCTCCTTTTTCGTGACTCATTTTTCTACCAGTTTCCAGCTTTGGGGAAAATACCCGCCGCCAGTTGGGGCCTTGCATTTTGAACTGTACCATGCGCTGAGATACATTCCTTCCCCAGCCAGTCGCCCTGGCTATCCCAAAGTCGACCTCAGTCTTTCCTCGGGCATGTTCTGCGACCCAGCTCTTCACCAAAGACCGAACTTCGTCGAGTCGTTCTCTCTTTCCTTTCTCTGCAAGATTGTACCGCTCGACTCGGCTTCCTAGTTGCTTCACCCCAAAATCTTACCCGGCCAAGCGACAGCGGATTCACCTGGGCGGGAAAAATCGTTCCTCGAAAGGAAGAAGACTGGTATGGGATGAAGAAAAGTGTGGTGTACAAGAGAGAAGTGTTAATTGCCCTCGAGCCCGCCTGAGCATTTCTCGCCTCTCTGCTCAGAGGCTGTCCTCTCCCTGGCACAGGCAGAAAGGCCATAGAAAAAGAATTCTAGCGGATCGTGTTGGATTCAAGGAACTGTCATCCACGAGGTCCGAAAGGTCCGACACAATGCATGGGCAGAAGGAGGGAGCCAAACCCGTTGGAGTGCGCACAAACTTCCACTTCCAATTTATTACAACTCCCACCTCCGATACTCCCGGGACGTCCCTGGTACTACACTTCAATTCCAAGAGATACATATTTGGGGAGATTACCGAAGGGACTCAAAGAGCATGCGTACAACGTGGGGTTGGGCTCCGGAAAGTACGAGGTTTATTCCTCTCAGGAAAGACGCTCTGGAACAATGGAGGACTCATAGGCCTCATTCTCTCAATGGCAGATGTACAGCAATCCGAGATCGATGAAGACACGAACAGGCGTCCCAGGTTGCACATACATGCAGGCCCAAAGCAGCTACACTCTTTTGCATGTGCACGGAGATTTGTCTTCCGTACTGGGATGCCGCTGTCAGTTCATGAGGTCGATGTTCGCAAGAGCAGTACCCATTTGAACCCGATCCATGAAGATGAGCATATCCGGGTGTGGGCACTGCCCGTCGAGGACCGCTCTACCATCCCCCCGCCACAGGACATTTCCGACGATTCTGGCGTTGACGAGTTCCAATTAGAAAGAGATCAGAAGTTACGAAACGAAGTCATCAACAACATGTTCGACTCTGATTGGAGGCGTGATCATCTTGTTCAGGCTAAGCTCAAGGACATCAGACTACCGGCAGTAGTGTGGGTGAGGGATCCCGAGACGAAGACACTGATCACTTACCCCGTTTTTGACATCAGTAAAACCACCTTTACACCGGACACGGAAGTGCTGGTTCGTAGTCCCTGGCCTGCCTCAACTGTACAGGAGCTGCCACCAGCTACGGGCCTGCCGGAAACTGTCACAATGTCCTACATTGTCAAAGGTCATCCTCAGCGTGGCAATTTTGACGCTGCAAAGGCAAAAGCCCTGGGACTACGGCCCGGCCCAAAATATGCGAAGCTGGTAGCAGGAGAAACCGTTGAGAGTGACGATGGCAAGGAAACCACGATCACCCCGCAAATGGTCTTGAGCCCAACTCGACCTGGGAGGGGTTTTGCCGTGTTCGATATACCCTCGGCCGGCTATCTTGAAGAATTCGAGCGACAACTAGATAGTCGGGCTGACTGGCTTTTAGAAGGAGTCGAAACTGCTGTCTGGATGACCAAAGGGAAGGTACTGCAAGCGGAAAGATTTCATCAACTGCTTCACAAGTTCAAAGACTTGAAGCATATCATTTCAGATCCTCATCTGTGCAATGATTACATCGCCTATGATTCTACGGCCATGTCTTCTGCCCGATTGTCCCAGATCGCGCCAGCCTTTTTCTCCGTTCCTCGATTCGACAATTCGCGTGCCTATCGCACAATGATCGATAAATCAATGGTTGAGCTGGGCGACGTCTTCGAAAAGCTCCAAATCGTGCCGGCGAAAAGAGGACTGAAAGTACATGTCGAACCCAATCTCGTCATTGATGAGGGTGAGGTCACGCCTAGCCTGGACCTTGACTCATTTTCAGCACCCATGGAACCAGCAGTGCAAGAAGTATTGCCGGATGGTGTGCCGGTGTACCATGCGCCAATTCCTGAATTCAAGTCGGCCATGGATTTGGATGAGCCGGAGATTGTTACCCTAGGCACGGGTTCCGCAGCTCCATCAAAATATCGCAATGTCTCGTCCCTCCTTCTTCGCATGCCCAAAGGGATGGGGAACTACCTATTTGACTGTGGTGAAGGTACTCTCGGTCAATTGAAGAGGTTATATCACGCCGAACAGCTGGACGACATTTTGTGCAACCTCCGGGGGATCTGGATATCCCATCTTCACGCAGATCATCATTTGGGCACCGTGTCTGTGCTGAAACATGTATTTCAAACCGTTCGAAGATTGGCAGGTCCTGGGCACCACGGTCGCCGACCGCCTCCGTATCTGTTCTCCGAGATCAACATGATCGACTATCTGGATGACTACGAATCCGTTATGGGCATACCAACGGATCTGCTCTGCACTCCCATTGCCTGTGACCCTCACAAAGGGCTATTCCATCGTAGGAGGCACTTCGAGATACAAAGCGACCTCTATATTCGCGAGCTACGTACCGTCAAGGTCAGTCATTGTCATGGTGCGCAAGCTGTCTCCGTCACCTTCAAAAATGGGTTCAAATTCTCCTACAGTGGCGACTGTCGTCCTAGCGAGGCTTTCTGCGAGATTGGCGCCAATTCGGACGTCCTGGTGCATGAGGCCACCTTTGACGATGGCATGGAAGGCGATGCTATGGCTAAAAAGCACAGCACGACAGGCGAAGCTGTGGGTGTTGCATTGGGTATGGGCGCAAAAAATCTGATCCTCACACATTTCAGTCAACGTTATCAGAAGATACCAGTCTTCAGCAGTGTGAGAATGCCCGAGCGCGTGTCTGAGGAAGACTTGCTTGATGACGTTGACGATGAGATGATCAATACAAATGCAAATGGCAACGATGACTGTTCAGAGTCGGAGCATCTCCCTGCACAAAACCTGGACTCTTCCGCGTGGATCCAACCCGACTCAGCTGTGCGCGACCTGAACATCGCTGTAGCATTCGACTTAATGCACATGCGTGTCTCGCAGATCAAGCACATGAAAGAACTCTTCCCTGCAATCTCTAAGATGTTTGAGATTGAGGAAGAGAAAAGAGATCGGTTGCGTATGGAAGCAGCTGCGCAACAGAAAGCGGACCTCGAAAGCAGGAAATTAAAGAGGCTCCAAGCTATGGAAGCGAATAGGAAGAAGATGGATGCAGGAAACAAGCAGAGGCAGATGGACAGGAACAGGGAGAAGAAGAACAGGAGGGCCAAGAGAAAGGAGGGGGAAGGCGAAACCGCGAATATGTCCCAGGGTCTGGGAGTGCCGGCGGGAGCCCAAAAGAGAGACGGTGATGGAGCAGCTGCCGACCATTCTGCTCTCCCAGTGATCCTCAATGCTTCCGGGGCGGAGCCCACAACGAACAACTACGTTGAAGTTGGTAAGAAACGCGACACAAGCACACGTGAGGGTACAAATGCTAAGCGTGCCCAGGCCGGTGACGGCAATGAGTCGCAAATGTTGGACATGCCAGCGCAAGACAGAGCCTCAGCAGACCCAAACCTCGCAGAACAGAGGCTTGGTAATGGTAAGGCCGCCAGCACTGGCAGCCAAAGTCCGCTGAAGAGGCGCAAGACTGAATAGGTTCTACATTAGGGGGTGACGGCCATTTGACAACGGGCATTCCAGAAACCTGCGTCTACGCCTTGAGGTTGACGTTCAGCGATCGAGAGAAAGACATGAATGCACCCGGACCAAGCTGCTGGGGCTCTCGTTTTATTCTCAGCCTCGTCCCGTCACCATCAGCTTACTTCCCGCAAGTACGACGAACAATTCAGATGCCTAGATAGAGAGATCTTGCGTTTACAATAATGCTACTGACTGGCCTCGGCCTTTTCGGTCATTCTTTGGGCCCAATTGATCTCTTCCTCGAATGTTCAGCTCCAACAAAAAAAAGGCGTTTTACTGTGCATTTTTTTTATGACATACCTCGGACATTGTCTCTAGAGTCTCAATAGGGCAAGTAGGACTGGGGATACCTGATCTAGTCTACGTATCGATTTCGAATAAAGATCTGGCACGACAGGAACACCTTGGCTACTCCAGTACACAATGTATCCGGGCTTTCTCTACAAGGCTTCTTAGAAAGTCTAGACTTCCTTGCTCCCTGAGAAATGTATCTTCCGGATTGAATGGATGGACATCACTATGAAAATTAAGTTTCGCTCACTTCTCTTCACTCCGCTTTCTTCCGTATCTCTTTAGCGGTTTTCATAGCCACCATCCACCCTCCTGCACATAGACAGATAGGCATACACAGACACAGAGAGAGATAGGGCGAGGAGGAAGACATATCATATACCCGAGTCTACGGATTACCTGCCGCGGTAGAACCAATCCAGATCCTCCCTCGATGCGATTTCCGACTCGTATGCTCGGCTCCAAGTAGAGTGTACGTCACTCCTGCTCCTGCTCCTGCTCCTGCCGCGACTAGCCGAGCTCCTGGATGCTGCTCTCGCGCGCGCATGCACATGGCTGTGGTGCTTGACAGATGTCGCTGCCGGATGGTGCGTCTCTGACGACGATGTGGTCGCAGGGCTCTTGGTCGGCGCGTAGGCGTTGACGATCTCGTCGTATAGGTTGAGAAAGGCTTCTGTGGAGGACACTGGGCGCCGTGGAGGTGTTGACAGTGCTGGCGCCGGTGCCGGTCGGCCTGGGGGCTGAAATGTCGGCTCAGGTGGAGATAGAGACGTAGTTGACAATGTGCATGTCTCCACGGAAGGCGATGGGGTGTGACAGCTCCGCTGTGTCCCTGCTCCGGCGGGCCGGCTGATTTCATCGTACAGACGGAGAAATAACTCCGACGCGGAAGCTGGAGGCGTGCATGCTGATGGCCCAGGTCCCGGCACATCTTGTTGTCTCGGTGGTGGTTCATACGTATCTGTGAATGGAGATGGCGCGAGGAGATCAGTGTAGGTGTCTGCCGCACTGCGTCCGGGGACTGCCGATGGTGATTTATGTGCCGTAGTAGGTGACGGTGCATAAGCTCGGGATCGAGAGCGTGATTGGCTTTCACTCCGCTCGTCCCCGTGCTCATCAACTCTGGACAGGTGCTGCCTGCTTCGAGAGGTGGTCTGCCTCTGATTGTTGGACGCCGCCGTTGCGGAAGAATATATGCTCGAACTCGAGGCTAAGCACGGCTCTGCTTCCCAAGAATCTGTCGACATGAAAGGCGGTTGCATCTGGCGCTTATGGCTTTGGTTGCCTACTGAGTGACCATAACGCGTAGGTGGCTGTGTTTGTTGTTCTTGTCGAGGTGGTGTCTTCCAACATGACCTCAGAGGTACATATTCGAGACACCCATCTTCGTCTTTGTCGTCTCTCAGCACCTGTGAAGTGATAGTTTGTGGATCGTCGACCACGCTATAGATACTGTGTCGTTCGCTCCTCGGCGAGGCGTATTCATAAGGACTTTGGCCTTTCATAGGTGGGTCGCCCGAGACAGAGCTAATTTCTGATTCAAATGTAAATTTCACGTGCGAATGCGGCTGACTTGGAAGATATGTCGTGCTGGTCAACGCCTCAAACGCGTCCATCCCTTCAAGATCGGCCTCGTTTGGCTCTTTTGGCAGACCCTCCTCGACGTTATGATCGTCGTTGCTTGGCGGGCTGGCTGTTCGGGCAGCCTCGTACTCAGGAGGAGCCTGGGGATTGGGAACAAGGCGAGAGCCGTCGTCGTGCTTAGCTCTCGACCGTCCGCTTTTCCTTCTGCTCAGCTTCATGTACTTGTATTTCTCCTGCCTCACCGCTTCGATGCTGGCCCGTATCTTCTTCAAGGCCATTGCTTGCTCCTCATTCTGCAACATGACCGCGTCCAGGTCAATCTCCTGACCGGTGGCCTTCTGGACGCGCCGTGCCAGCGCCGCAATCCAAACTTGCACCCACAACTGAAGTCTGGGGTTTCCATACGTGGCGATGAAATATTGGGTCGCCCTCGACCGGATCGTCCACCTCAGGTCAAGGAGAATCTCCAGGTTGCATGTAATGCACGACAGGATGCACGCGCCGCAGCGGTCATTCTGGTAGCTCCACTTTGAACCCTGACTGGAAGTCAAGAAGGTCTTTTCGTAGTCCTCTGGCTTGAGCCACAAGGCGTGCAGAGCTCGCAGTCTCATAAGGCGGACATACTGCTCCGGGGAAAGCAATTCGCATTGCGAAATGAGGTTGTTCAGACGTACTCCGACCTCCAGTTGGACATGATGTAGCACAATATCCACCACATCGCGATGTAGCGCTTTATGCAGCCGGCAGAGGTGACCGCGAGGCGGCAGGAGGAGCTTCTCCAGCCGACTCGGTCTGAGGAAGGAAGGCAACGATTTCACGCCCCTGGCGATGCGCCGAGAGAGGGCTTCTGGGGCTTCATTGGGTCGAGACTGCAGAAGCTTCGCCAACGTCGGGATGGATCCAGACGGGATCTCTTGAATATACATCTTGTCAGTTTCCTTCTGAGCGAGTGGCTGAAGAATCTCACCTGGTTCGGGCTATTAGTGAGGTTGAGCAGCAGCTTCTTGTCGTTTTCTTCTTGTTATTGCAAGAAACCGTCCTTCCAAAGGAACAATTTCGAATGAAGGCCTGGACAAAAGGTTGAAGGCGCCTATCAAGAACTGCTTTGATGAGTTGTAAAGGGTGTGCAATGAGAGGTTTCGAAGAAGATGGTTGGAGTTGGTAGAAATCGTGCAATTATATTCCTTTCCAGAGACAATGGATCAAAGAAAGGTGGTGGATAAAGGAAAAATAAACTCCTTGTCCTCCCTCCAGGGATTTCAATGTTTGGCGAACGTAGAATTAAAGGCGACCTGTCCGAACGTAACATTGACAATGGGGGGGATAATGATCCTGAGTGCCTGCCCGGACAATTCAGTGCTTTAAGCTTCAGAAAGCCAGGAGTCAGCATCAAAAAGAAGCGGGGAGGAAATCCATTTTTTTTTCTTTATTTGAAGATGCAACCCGGCGCCTCCATGACCTGTAGCCGCCGGCCCATGTTTGTACACATTACCGTGATTTGCAACATAGTCGAGGCACATAAGCCCTTTCCTGGACTCCGTCATCTTTTGAGCACAATCCTGATCCCTCCCTATACCGACTAGAAACGGTGTTCAATATGTACCATGAAAGAACTGGGTCGTAACAATTAATATTTTATACAAAACTGTTCAATGCATCCCGTCTGCATGTAGGATCGCCGGACTCCTGCTGTGGATTCCGGCGACACGATCCGATATTGACTTGGCGTCGAAGCCACTCTTGCGTCTGCTGCTTCGCCGCAAAGCTTGTTTGACTTCTTGCTCTTCCTTTGTCTCTTCCTCAAGCACTCGAGGCCCACCATTCTCTTTGTTGTCAAGGACCTGCCTGTGACTTGAGCGAGCTTGGTGTTCTGCGTGGTCCACGTCAAAATTCGGCGAGTTGACGTTTGAAGCTTTGGTTGCAGCGGTATCTGCATCCACTTTCTTTTGGGCAGCAATCCTGTCGCGTTCGTAGCGGGCTGACACATCCCCACCGGTCCATGCGGTGTCAAGGACGCGATCCCAGAACGTGAAGAATGGCTGCGAAAAGTTGGTCTTAATGCCCCAGCTCTGATGGTGCACGTCGTGATAAGCTGCATTATTCGAGGTAATGTGCTGTAGAGGATCCCATGGAAAGGCATACCCGCAATGGTCATCGACCGTCTTAATCGATGAGATAGTGAAAAACCACATGCCTTGTTGAATGGTCATTCCAGTGGTCAAATAGGCTATGCCAGTGCCAAGTGTATCAAGCAGGAAGCCTTCCAAAGGATGATTGTAGAGTGCCCCATACGCATAGGGAACATACAACCGGTGGTGACGAGAATGGAAGGTGGTATACAGAAATTTGTTCATGTGCATGGCCCGGTGAAGGAAGTATTGCCACGTGTCTACTATGAGGGTAGCAATGGTAAATTGGACCAAAGGAATGCCAATCCAATAGATCGACTGCGCGACTGTCATTTCCCAAGGTACAAAAGACGCAGTCGAGTAAAATCCTCCGGTCAAAGCGCCCGCAAGTTGAGGATAGTTGTGTTGCAGCTTTCGGCCCAGAGACACAGCGTCGCAGCCGATGAAACCGAGAAATGTTGGAATGTACCTTTCTGCGAGGCGCAGACGTCGGGCCCAGAGGGCAACGTCATACTCCTCTTTGCCGATTGTCTCAACAGGGTCGAATGATGCGATAATCAATCCAAACGCGGTCTGGACTATTTGTTGTATAATGACATCCCTCAGAACTTCGAATCTCGTGACGTGATTGCGCTTGAGGACTTCAGCAGGAGTATGCAGCCTGTATTGCGAACACAGATCATAGGTATCCAAGACATGGAAGAAGATTGAGACGACCCAATAGGCAATGACAGGGGCGAGAAGCTGGAGGAGGGGATCTGATATGCCGGGAATCATAGGAGGGCGGGGTTTCAGGGTATAGGTAGGAAGAGCAGGTAGGTCCGAATACGTTGCATTCGCCATGTTGCCGAACATGGGATGGCAATAGACAGAAGGACGATATTCGACGCAGAGGTTCAAAGGACCCAAGTTATATTAGAATCGCGTGCGGGAGGCTCGGATGTATATGCAACGATTGCCCGGGAGTACAAGGAAGGGCGCGTTAAGGAGGGAATCTCTCAACCCAACGGGGGCTGACAAAAATAGAGTACAAGTCCAGTCGAAAGTGAAGAAAGATGAAGAGCACCGGAAGTGAAGGAAGTGAAGGGAGTGACTTAAAAACAGGGTGAGATGGTCAGAAGAGAGGTGGAGAGACTTGACAGGGACAAACTGCTGAGATGATCAGGATCAGGAGTTTCCGGAGAATTTAGTGAAGGCGAAATTTGCTTCTCTCGCTTCCTCTATAAAGTCACGTGAACAAATACGAAGTACGGATATCACGTGCGCCAAGCACCATGGATTCGAAGCGCAGCAAAATTTTTGGGTAGTAGCGGGACTGACCCCCACACTGCAGGGTAATAGGCGGATGGGCATTCACAGGCCAGATGCCTTTCGATCTCGAACCCCTCATCAATCTGCCAGGGCTTGCGTTCATTCACTTTTTTTTTCTTCGCTAGGTCCTTTAACCCTCAAGCGCCGCTTCTCTCGATTGATTTCCTTTCTCCTGTAGTTGCAGTATCGCTTGACTCAAGATGATCATCTACAGGGTACAAAATACTACATCCACTGCCCTCAGGGTTCTAACTCTGCCCCACCTAGACTAACTGACAATTTTCATAACAGGACATCATCACCGGCGATGAGCTCGCGTCAGACACTTCCAAAATCATCGATGTTGGTAATGGCCTGTGGGAAATTGATGGCAAGATGATCACGAAGGGCTCCGAGAATTTCGGTTCGTCGGATCCTCATGCTTTGCCCCTTCTGCAAACTCATGCTAAACTCTTTGAATTTCAGTTCTTGAGGGCGCCAACCCGTCTGCCGAGGGTGAAGACGCAGACGACGGCACGGATGAAACCAAGGTTACGGTCCTCGATCTCGCCGACCAATTCCGTCTACAGAAGCTGGAAGGTGGAATGAGCAAGAAATCATATCAGTCCGAACTCAAGAGTACGTCCACAAATCCCGGGCTTGGAATAATCACGTGTATGGAGTTGACCTTTGAACAGAATACATGAAGGCTTTGACGGAGAAATTGAAGGAGAAAGGCAAAAGTGAGGAAGAGATCAAGCAATTCCAGTCCGAAGCACCTGCTGCGGCTAAGAAGATTCTGGGTAACTGGGACAACTACGACATCTACCAGGGCGAATCGATGACCGAGAACGGCATGTACGTCCTCGTCGACTTCCGCGAGGACGGCATGACGCCATATGCGACCGTCTGGAAATGGGGCTTGGAAGAATACAAGGTGTAAGCAAGACTACTATGTGGATTGGAGCATTGGAGGGTGCATACGGGACAATATGATGACGGCCTGAGATGTTGAACGCGGTAAATGCACTGCGATAGCTCGTTATCGTCCAAGCATATCACGAAGAATAGAATCCGCAACCTGCTTGCTGCCTCAATTCTTATTTGTCCCCCCAAACCCACGAGACCAGACCATGAGGAAGAGTTGGCATAAGATTGGCCAGACTTGGCCTTGATGTTGTTCCAGCATATCAACGGGCAAAGAATATCTGGCCCCTGTTCTGCCCCGTGCAGGTGTGCGCGTAGAAGCGGTAGACATGTGCTCTCTTCTTGACGGCCAGCAATAGCGCCAGAAAGCGGCCAGGTTGTCAAGAACCCTATTGCTATCTCCAAGCTGTCTTATTGGTGGCGGTGTAATATGGAAGAAGAGAAATTCTCCCCCCGCAGGCAAAGTTGAACTCCGCCTACCTCGCTTCGTCTGATCTCGTTGGTGAGAAGGGAAGGGGCCGGAGCCCGCAGGCAACGCCTTTTCCCCTACTCTTACATGTTATGATAACTTGCACCGCACCCTTCCAGAACCTTGTTGTCCTAGCCATCCTCTTCAAATTCATCGTATGACTGGTTATTCTTGTTTGTGCCATCTAGTGATCTGCAGGACTGGAAGAAGCCTTCTCAAACTGATAAGCAGCTACGCACCGCCACCGTCCTGCCCACCACTCCTTCCCTACTGCTCTCGTGCTCCATTTCCACTTCAGAAAATCTGCCTTCGGGTCACTGTTACCTTCTGAGTTTCAGCCCTCGACTCACATGTCACAATAACAACATTTTCTCTTGCCCAGCATGGCTCCTTTTCTTCGCTGCATATTGATAATCTCAACTCTTATCATCACCACCATCTCCGTCCCTACTAGCGAGTCATTCTCTCGGACCTCCCTCCAAAACAAAGCCATCTTTCCTCCCCGAGAAAGGCCAGCCGGGCCATTTCGCAGGTTCCGAGACGCCATTATCGAACGAATATGGTCTATCCCAAACAGATACTCCTACAAGTCCTCGTCGATTTCCAAAGCAGCAAGGGCACCGGAAAACTTTCGAGCCCGCTACGGCTGTGACGTCGTTCTCCGTTTCCAAGTCAAGAGCGAAGAGGAGGCGAAGGCTATATCGGAAGCAGCAGATATACTGTATCTGGATATTTGGGAAGCGACGAATGAATGGATCGATATTCGAATAGCAAAAGAAGTGGTACCTTCGTTTGTTGGCCTTCTGCCATCGTCTTTACATGATTCATACGTTCCGTTGATGCACGATCTCGCTCGTGCCGTCTACGATACTTACCCTGAATTGCCTCTCGCCGACGAGAAAACATCGAGCCTCACAACTCCACATGACTGGCGGGTCAAGGGCAACACTCCTCACGATCTATTCTTTCAGGATTATCAACCGCTGTCGGTCCTATATCCGTGGCTACGGCTGCTTGCCTCGCTCTTTCCCACACATGCGTCACTGATGAGTATCGGCGCATCGGCCGAGGGTCGCGACATCCCTGCGCTGCGTATCGGGGCGCAGTTGGATGATAGCTCGACAGACTCGCATGCATCCAGGCATACACTGCTAATAGTCGGCGGCAGCCATGCTCGCGAGTGGATCTCGGTGTCTACGGTGGCCTATATTGCTTACAGCCTCGTCACCCGATATGGCCACCCTCAGTTTCCGGAGGTCACTAAGATTCTCAACCATTTCGACCTCATTCTCGTTCCCGTGCTGAATCCTGATGGATATGAGTATACCTGGACGACCGACAGACTATGGCGCAAGAATCGACAAGCGACTTCCATACCGTTCTGCCCCGGTATCGATCTTGACCGTGCCTTTGGATTTGGCTGGGACGGTTATGGTAATACAGACAACGCTTGTAGTGACGACTACGCCGGTCCTGGACCATTGGCTGCAGTTGAAGCCCAAACGCTCACAGAATGGGCTCAAAACCTGACGAGGAACAACAATGTGACATTTATGTCGTATCTCGACTTTCACTCATACTCTCAGGAAGTGCTCTACCCGTACAGTTACACGTGTGAGACGGATCCCCCCAATCTCGAAGATCTGGAAGAAGTTGCTCTTGGGATCGCGAAGTCGCTTCGATTGACCAATGGACACTATTATGGAGTCGAAAGCGCTTGTCAAGGTAGCATGGTCTTCCAGGACCGCGCGCAAAAGCCTCGATTTCAGATAGAGCCACAAGGCGGTTCGGCATTGGATTTCTTCTACCATGATCTGGATGTGAAGCTCGCATTCCAAATCAAGCTCAGAGATACTGGAACATATGGCTTCTTGCTGCCCAGGTCTCACATTCTGCCCACCGGCGAAGAAGCTTATGAAGGCGTGGTTGGTCTGGGACGATGGATGCTGGGCAATCACGGCATTGAGAGGGTCGAGAATTTGCATTCCGTCTGGGGAGACGAAGATTCGACCGAGCAGCAGGGGATAGAAACGATCCACGAGCATGAAATGCCAGCTAGCCGTGAGGGAGAGGATGACGACTTTGACGAGAATGATTTTGAACTAAAACGGCGGCGGCGGCGTCGGTAATGTTGCTTTTACAAGCGTGGTCGGCGAAATTGAGGGCGTTTGGGGGCACCTGGGGCTTGGATCCCAAGCCGATTGATGTTTTGATGACCTGGCACCATGATGCCTTTGGATGTACAAATATGCGTCAACTTTCGAGGCACTTCTGCTGAGGGCACGTAACATGTACAAGCCTAGACATGTCTAGGTTTATGCCAAGTACAAAGTACTGGCGAGCTGGGTATGAACAGCCAACAAGAAATTTGCGGAGTGCTGTGTCTGCACCGTGCATGAGTGTCAGACAGACTCTCAAGGGGGGTGAAATGACGAGATTCATGACCAAGACTTGCACCACGTGGCTGGCAGGGTCAAATTGCGGTCCTCGGTCCCTTTTTTTATGAGTTGGCTGAATCCCCGGTTAAATTGGGGTGTCGCAAGGAGGGCCGGCGGTTACCCAAGAAGATCGATTTGACAAATGAATAGGGGCTGCCGCCGAAAGTGAAGAGCCTGGAGCTCACTCCTAGCTCTTGGCATTAGGCCTGCTTCACTTGTTGTCGTGGCATGATACTTGTGCGCTTATCAACAACCATGGACATGGGCATGTCCGTACTGTAGGAGGGGAAGAGGGTAGAATGAGTGAGTGTAAAGTGAGCTGAAAGTGAGTGAAGTACTTGGTACAGTGAACGGAATACTGAGTATTAGTATTATTACGGAGTGGTGCCCCAGAGCAGCGAGATGCAGATCCGCGGCTAAGCCCCCTCCGGAATGGGGTGACCAGCACTAACCACTGTGGGCTTGGAAGGACTCGGAGCGGCCAACTGGGACCAATTGACTCGGCTGAGCAACGCGATCTCCTTTGCCTTGTTTTGCTCATCTCGTAATATTATCAACGTGCTGAAGATCGTTTCTGGCCAATCCTTGATGCAGCCCTCCCGCTTCCAGAAATTCATGGGTCCCGTTCCTTTGCCCTGAGCCCCCCAGCCTCTTCGCTTGACCCAAATTGACTTGGCCCGATCAACACTGGTGCTCGATTCGAGCGGCCTTTTCTCTCGCTTGCTGCCCTCCCAGGCCCCAGAGACTCGGAAATAGAGACGGCTGAACATGGCCACGAAGAAGAGGTGACACGATAGAGCCGGCCTGTATCTGTCAAGTTTCCAGTCTGCATGGACGAGAGACAGCTGTGTCCCCGTTCACTGGGACAGAGCATGTTGCCTGCAACTCATATAATCTGCCTAGTTCCACCAATACTGTCTTCTGCCTGTCTTCTCATCTGTGAGTGCAATTTTCTCTGCTGCTAACTCTGTCCCCAGCCCACAACCACTCATTTGCTCCCATCCCATTACCAGTCGTCGTTGGCCGAAACACCACTCACGTCGTCCTCGGTAACCGCCAGACCCTGCCGGCTCTCCAGACCCTGAATCGCTCCTGCTCACCTGCAATCATCATCACCACCACGAAGCGCCCGACGAGACTCAACTCTGCACCTTCTCCATCTCTTCTAATTGGATTCAATCCCACATCGACACTGCTGGCCGTCGCTCATCCAATCCTCAAACACGCGCGGCCCCTGCCTGTGCCCTCCATCACTCGGTTTCAGCTTTCTCAAACGAGCATTCTCCAACTTTGGCCCCCACATCATGCTTCCATCACAGACAACACCGCAGGTGCTGTACAAGGTGATTTGAGGCCAACCTCAGTTTCACCCTCTGCGCCGAAATAGCGTCCAATCCGGTACTCGGGTGCCTCGTACTTGCGCATCTCTCCATCCCGTGGCTTCACTTTCCAACGGTCAGAACTCGACTATATTTTGTGCACCAAGGCTTATCGAAAACGAGACTCTACCTCGAGACGCTGTGTCGTCTTCCTGGTGGCCTGTGGCTTTTCATATCGGGTGATTCAAACATTGCCCTCGTCTTTGTCGACTGCGTTGTTTGAATTTTGTTCTCTCTCTGTTTGATCTGCTTTATGTGATATCCTGTACGTTACTGCTGGACAAAAAGCCTTGCTCGACGACCTGGGAATCTGTTTTCTTTTGCGCCTTACCCGGAAAATATCGGTTTATTGTTTTAATCCTTGGCCTTACCCGATACCTCGAAGAATGGCCCCAACCACGCTGGTGACTTTTTTGGTGTATGTCAAGTCCTATATCATCCTCGAACTTGAGCTGACAATCGCTGCAGTCGCAGTCCGCCTTCAACTAGATCAGTTCACCTCTATGGTTCGTGGGACAACTTCACCAACGCCTATCCCATGCAAAGGGACACACGCACGGGTCCTGAGCACTGGTCAGGTTGTCATAGCTTCTCCAACATCATCTGCGACGGCGACGCAAAAGGCAATGGCCTTCCCAGGCAAGGAGGGCTCAAGATGGGTGGGACGTATTGGTACTATGTGTGTTTGACCTCTTCTCGTTCTTGTCAACTTGTTATTTACCATTCTCTCACAGTACAAATTGGACGACGAAATCGAATTCCACAACTCGGCCGAACCATCAACCACCTCCTGTCCAATGCTCCCTGGCCAACTGGTCAACGTCCTAAATGTTCCCTTTGCGCTCACCACCAGCAGCCGCTCCCGCAATGACAGCGTGAGCTCAATCAGCTCTGACTATCGCACCATGGACCCTACAGACAAGTTCCTGAACCCACGACCAGTGCCAGCAAAGCCATCCCTACCTCGCTTGAAGACTTCCCCAACCTTGCTTCAACAGTCGTGGTCCTCTTCCAGCTCCCCTGCCAGCTCTTCATCTCTTCCTAGTAGAAGGGGAAGGTCGACATCTACCACGACACCCTCTCAACCTGGCAGTGCTAATGCTTACAGGGTTGTTCGAATGAAGCCATCCATCGACGCCCCGTCGAGATCCACTTCGCGCGGCAGCAACCGCTCTGTTGGTATCATTGGTGCTTTTCGAGCCCTCAAATCACCACGAATCGCGAGTCCTGAGGCTACATTGGACCGAGGTCGTAGTCTCACAAATGATTCGGCAGCAAGGGATCGTCCAAAGGCCGTATCAGAGCGCAGTATCACTCCCAAGAGGGCTGTACCCGGAACAGCTCCGCCGACTTCAGAGGTGGACGATAACACAACGTCTGAGCCTCCAGGAGGACTTGCCCTGCGTCGAGCATTTAACGATGCGTCTGAAGCCTTCAATCATCTACCGATATCGTCCTTTGCACAACATCGTCGCCAACGGTCTTTGTCGCGCGAGCCTTCATCTCTGTGCAGTTCGATTCAGCCGGACTCTTCTCCTGATCTAGGAATGCTTGATCAGCCCGGTGTACAGTATCAGCGCTTGGCGACCCTGAAGGAGGTTGCCTCGGCGACAAATACGCCTGTTTGGCCTCTGACAGCGTTGAAAATTGAGAGCGAAAAGGACAACGAGGTTCGCGGGGCTCTTGACTTGGAGAAACGCCTACCAACCTTACCTAATACCCCGTCTTCTGCGTATCCCCCGAGCGTCGTGGATGCGCCTCTCATCGGCGACGATTCAGATGACATTGTCAATCTTCGCAGTCATTTCTCCTCTACCACCATCGAAACGGAATCGTACAGGGAGAGTTACATTCACCATGGTCACAGCCGTTTCTCGGATTGGACAGACGGGACCACCACACTTTCACCACAATCGGAACTCGCATCGAGTATTCTTGACTTTGAACCAATCAGTCCAATACCAGAAGTAGCCCTCGACTTGTCGATTGATAATCCAATTAACGCGTCGAATCAAATTACCGGCCAGGACCATTCCGAGGAAAAGTGCTCCTCTGCTTCCAAACAAGACGGACTGCCTTCGGCCCTCAGTTTCTCAACGGTCAGCTCATTTGCTTCTACCACTCCAAACTCTCACGTAGACCTTGACAGCGCCAAGGATGGCCACTTTTCCTGGACCAGCTTTCAGCACTATAGCCTGCCCTCAGAAGACGTTGGATCAGGGCTCATGCACAAACCAACGTCGCTTCCCAAGCATGTGGCGCCTCTGGTCGTTGACGAAAACCATCGTATGGGAATGTACCAACCTCAAGCAGCGAGTTACAACGATTCGACGATTCCCCACTCCACCAGTATGCAACAGCTTCTCGCTGAGTTGAGCTATCTGGGTGGCATGATTCAACAACATTAACGCCCAACATACATATTGCTACAACATCGCCTGGCAAGGTCAATTGATATATTTTGTCAGCGTGCTCTATTTTTTTTTAGATATTGAGATGAGCAGACATTCAGCTGGTGAGATCCACAGTGATCTAACTGCATGTGCAAATACTCGATATTACCGTATTAACAGTACGTCCAATGAACGAGTGGAGTTTTCGGACTTTTGGAAGCGACGGATTCCATAGTGGGTGGGAGCATAGTGGCTTGGAAGTATGATTTTTATTTTTTTTTGAATTTTTTTTGGAGGACTTTTCGACTCGGACGAAAGTTTGTGGCGTTTTAGAGGACACATTGCTCATGACCCAAACATTGAAAGCGGGAGGATGAGGGATCGACATGAGGCGCTTTCAGCCTTGCATTTTGTTGATGAGGCTGCACAAGCGTTGCATCGTAGGCTTGGCAGAATTTCCAGACGACAACATAGACATAGACCAGACATACTCAGCAGTAATTACCCAATATCTGTGGGAGCACGGATTCATGAATGACGATAACTTTGACTTAATGATTCCATGACTATTCACTGTAAACGGCCTTCCACCTTCGAGTCATACCCCTGGTGCTTGGCTCATTCTGACGCGTTCATCGAACACCAGAGCCTTTGAACGCGTCCCTGAGACGGAAGGATTAGCACTCTATTGCGTACATCATCTACCTAAGCCACTTATCATTACCCTGGCCTGTGGTTTGTGGGACGAGCTGTCTGTCTTTGAGATTGTTGACCCTCCCAATCTCTGTTGGCCTCCCATTCCTCTTTCCTTCCGCTGGCAACACGCTTTCACGACGGAGGCTTGCCCTTGTCCAGCGCCCCAGCAGCAATAGCCCGTAATATCACCAATCAGACTTCACGATGCATCAAATATCAAAGCGCATGCTTACGGATCCCTTCGTCCCCTCCCTCTTCGCCTACTGTCCGACCATGGATCTCGTCGTGACTGTCACGGGCAAGGGGATCATGGATGTTTGGAGATTGAATGGGCAGAGAGTCTTTGGTTCGAATTTCCCCAAAGATGAGGGAACTGGTGGTGACGTTGGCGGGAATGCGGCAGCAAATAAAAGCGGTGGAGGAAACGTAAGGGCAGTTGCGTGGAGACGGGATGGTGAGCACCCTTCATGATCCCTTTTCCTTTTCGTTACTACCACAGGGTCTGTAGGACCATCTCAAGACCATTTTTGAAGAGTGCGGTGCTCCTTGAGTTCGGATCACTCTCTCTATACAGGCTCAGAAAGAAACCAGATGCTGACTATTACGTCTCGATGTCGGGGACGGATGTACAGGTCAAATACTTGCGATCGCTTGTGCGGATGGCAGTCTGTCGCTCATAAATACTTTCACGGGCAAGATTGCCCATCGAATATCCAGTCAAAATCAGAAACCCACTCCTTCAACTTCATCACCAGTACCGTCACAGACCCAAACACTGAGGCGGAGTTCCAGAATCCCCTCCTTCCCTTCCTCGCAGGCCACGCCCATACGCCGAACCATCACAACCATCGCCTGGACCAAACACTTCGTCGACCCCTCCCCGACTACCGTTCGCTCTCATCTCAATGCGCCAAATTCAACCGTCTCACTCGACCAGATTCTCAGCCTCCGCGCTGACGTGGATAGACTTCTGCAGTTGAAATCCGATTTGCCCCGCGAACTGAGCAGTATTGACGTGGAGGTGTCCTTGCCAAAGCTTGCGACGCTGCCACCCACAGGTCTCGGTGCGGATGATGATGTGTTTAGTTCCCGGGCCAGTGTGGATGTTTTGTTTCACGGGGGTAGCACTACCGGCTCGAGCGGGGTTGGGGGTGTTGATGCCCTACTTGTCGGTTCAAGCGACGCAGATGGTGGATGTAATGTGCAGCTAAGGGTCTTTGATTCCTTCGAGATTGGAACCGTTGATTTGAAGGGTCTTCTCCCTTCAGGACCAGCAGTTGGAAGCGCGTTGAGAGTGATGAGAATGGAAAGTCATCCATTCATGTCGGCAGTGTTCTTGATCATGGAACAGTTGCCAAAAGATGAGGCCGAATCGTCGTTACATCTCCTCAGCCTTGATCTGAGCTTCATCCCGCAAACGGGGCGGAACTTGCCACTTGTAGCAAGGAAAGTTTCACAGCTCGGGAATCTGCTGAGATACATTTCACAAGTGCGGACGCAGTTGGTTGCCGAGATCAAAGCTGCTTTCGACTTACCTGGCAGATTCCTCCGGAATATCAACGAGTCGCTGGCAGAACGGGATGAGGATGCGGACTTCATATATGCAGCCCATCATCTCGCAGTCACTGGAGTTTGCGAACCGAAACTGAAGGAGTGGTTGGTTGACGAGGTTGGGGATAGGGGTTTGAAGCGGTGGGAGAACGCTGTGGGGGACTGTCTTGAGGTTGTGAGGAGGATGACGAGTGAGTGTCTCCTTCCTGCGCTCGAGAGGAGTCTGGTTGTGTTATCAAGACTCGACGGCCTTGCCAAGTTTGGGCCCACGAGTTCGAAGCTCGGCCTCGACGAGAAGAATATAAAGAGGGTGACAGAGACGATTGATGCGTTGGGTATCCTCGGCGAGGATCTCTTGCTCGATGTCGTCGTCGAAACGAGGGAGTTTGCGGCCTTTATCAAGTGGTTGAAGTGGGAGTGCGAAGTTGAGGCAATGGAGGAAGGCAGCGAGAGGGCGGAAGAGATGAGGGAGTCGTGGACGGGAGAGGGAGAGTTGAGGTTGGTATTGGATTATGTCGGAGGCGCCATAAAGGAAAGCCGGCTAAAGAAATACCTTTTGGAAGAGAGAAAAGCGCAAGAAGGTGGGATGGTTGCATCGTCTGATGATTCGGATCTAGGGTTCTACACCGAATATGTGAAACGCAGGGCAAGCGGCAGCAGGGGCAACAGCATGCCTACAGTGGGGGAACTGGTCGACAGATTGCAGAGGCAATGTGACGCGGTCTTTGCGCAGATTGCCGAGACACTCAGGAAAAGCATCCTCTCGAGCTATCTGCTGGAGCTGCCTAGGCAGTGCAGTGGTGAGAATATGGACGTTAGAGTCATTCCTGACGAGATCGATCCAAGTCTGTACCGGCTCTTTGTGTTATGCAAGGACCGGGAGGAGAAAGCCCATCTGCAACAGGTCGTGGTCAAGCTACAACGAGGAGGCGCAAAGGGTGTTCAGCACACAATGGGGTCGAAGTCACTCGCGATTCCGAATGTGCACGAGATTCTCGACGCAAAATTCGTTGACGACGACGCATTCCTGGTCCTTGCTGAGACAAGTTCTGATGTCAAACTTTACTGGAAAGAGATCAGTGCCGACGGCGAAGGATCTTGGGATGTCCGGCACGTCTTCCAGCGAGGGAAAATAGATGGTGTCATGAAGCCGGTGAGGCTGGATGTAAATGGGCGAGTCGGGAGACGAGTGGTTACCGTCCTCGATGAGGCTGGGCTGGGGTATGTGGTCTTGGACCTGGATGCTGACGACAATACGCCCGAGGCTGATAGCGAAGAAGACGAGCTTATGACAGAATGATCAAACGATAGCCTGGAAGCGCTCAAAGATGGTGCTGGCATGTCGTGGCATGAGGCTGAGCAGTTGGCCATAGATCCGAGCTATGCAAAGCCCGATTCAGTTGATCACCCCTTTTCCAGCCGAGCATGTAGTATCAGCAGTAGCAACATAGCCTGACAAAGATTCTGTACCACCACTCCTGGACACCCTCCAGCATGACCTTTGTGTACTGTGGTAGTTGTAACAAAGAGGACAAGGCTGATCGAGGCTGATCGAGGCTGGCAGATTGCCCCTGACTGGCGCCACTTGGCGTTGGCAGGCAGGAGCCTCCAGGAGCACTTTAGCAGTAACAAGCGGGCGGCAGCCACACACAGGGAGTAAGGTACCCCGTACTTGCCCCTACGCAGCGAAATGGGCGTTAGTAGAGGCAGTGGAGAGTGAATGGCGATTTGACCACGCATTTTCGACCCTGCAGGTCACTACAGCTGGTGCAGCCTCCCAGAGCCTCTAGTCCTCTGACCTGAGCAGCCCTGGGCTACCTGCTCGGCACCAAGTACCTTGTAAAGAGGAGCCCTAGTTAGCGCGAGCCTGACCGCAGTCTACCGCAGTCAAGCGCAGTCTATCAACAAATCCATCCCACTTGCAGTTGCCCTCAGCAAAACACAGCCAAACCCGCAGCCCTACCAAATACACGCACACTCATTCTCAAACCATCCTCCCCTTCTCCCTTGTCTCTACCAATTCCCTCCCCTGCTACTCGCCCAATACTCTTGTTTGCTTTGCAGGTCGTTCTCTCCTTGAATCCAGGCCTGTGTCATTCCTCGCTTTGACATCATCTTCTCCTGCTCTGCGAATTAACACCTGCAATCCTCGGTTTGTCCGCCTTCTCCCTCCCAGACCGCTGCTCGGTCCAGCCATCATGGATGTCAGGGCGGTTTTGGAGAACACCTTCTCTCCCGGTGAGATAATCTCCTGTATCCCGCGGTTCCGGCATCGCACTGATCCCCCCTAGATGCAACAATCCGTGGTGGTGCTGAGGAACAGCTCAGACAAGCCCGCGAGGGAAATTTTGTATGTCCACCTGATCCTGCACCTGGGATACTGCACCGATTAACGGATACATATCTAGTCTGAGTACCTTTCTATTCTCTCGACAGAACTAGCCAACGATCAAGCTGGTCCTGCCGTCCGACAAGCCGCCGGCCTCGCCCTGAAGAACGCCTTCTCCTACCGTGACGTGACCAGATTAAGAGAGGTCCAGGCAAGATGGTTGCAAGGAGTCGACCCTCAAATCAAGGCTCAGGTAAAGGAACTGGCCGTCAAGACTCTCACGTCTACACCTCAAGCTGCCAACTCGGCTGCTCAACTAATTGCGACCATTGCCGCAATTGAACTACCACGTAACGAGTGGCCTGATTTGTTGCCTGCCCTCGTCCACAATGTTGGCGCTGGTGATGACAAACTCAAGCAATCCAGTCTCACCACCATCGGCTTCATTTGCGAGTCGGACGATGTCGAGCTCAGAGAGTCTCTGGTTGGATATTCTAACGCAATTTTGACTGCCGTTGTTCAAGGTGCGCGAAAAGAGGAAGAGAACCAGGATGTCCGACTTTCGGCCTTGTCTGCGCTCAGCGATGCTACAGAGTTCATCCGCAGCAATTTTGAGAACGAGGGCGAGAGGAACTACATCATGCAAGTCGTGTGCGAGGCTACACAATCCCCTGACACCCGCGTTCAGGCCGCTGCCTTTGGTTGTCTGAACCGAATCATGGGCATCTACTACGACAAGATGAGATTCTACATGGAAAAGGCCTTGTTCGGGCTGACCATCGCGGGTATGAAGAACGATGAAGAGGATGTGGCCAAATTGGCCATCGAATTCTGGTGCACCGTCTGCGAGGAGGAAATTAGCATAGAGGATGACAACCAGCAAGCACAACAAGAAGGATCGACCGAACTGCGACCATACTTCAACTTCGCCAGAGTCGCTGCGCGTGAGGTTGTCCCGGTTCTACTCCAACTGATGACCAAAGTCTCCGAAGATGATGCCGATGACGAATACAACGTCGCTCGCGCCGCTTATCAGTGTCTCCAACTCTATGCACAGACAATAGGAGGTGACTTAGTTCCAGTGGTTCTTCAATTCGTAGAGGCGAATCTACGCAGCGACGACTGGACCAAACGAGATGCCGCAGTATCATCGTTTGGCGCGATGATGGACGGCCCTGACATTAAGACCCTTGACCCTCTTGTCAAGCAAGCTCTTCCTGTCTTGATCGGAATGATGCAAGACCCAGTCGTCCAAGTGCAGGATTCTGCGGCGTTTGCCCTGAGCAGGATCTGCGATTATTGTTCCGACTGTATCGACCCGTCAACACACTTGCAACCGCTTATGTCCGCCCTTTTCTCTGGCCTTATGAGCAATCCCAAGATAGCCGCGTCCTGCTGCTTGGCTCTCCTCAATCTGACGGAGCGATTTGTCGGTGAGGACGGTGCATCGGCAAACCCATTGACGCCGCATTTCCAAGACAGTGTTACCTCTCTGCTTACCGTTACCGAGAAAGAAGGAGGCAACAATCAACTTCGCACGGCTGCATATGAAGTGCTTGGTGGCTTTGTGACAAATGCCGCTCATGACAGCTTGCAAATTGTCGCAGAACTCTCCAACGTCATCATTCAACGTCTAGAGAGCACGATCCCCATGCAGAAACAGATTGTCAGTATTGATGATAAGATCACTCTTGAGGAATTGCAAGTCAGCCTTAGCAGCGTTCTGCTTGCCATTGTTCAGAGACTCGAACAGAATATCGGGCCCCAGGCCGATCGGATCATGCAGATTAATTTGGAGCTCCTCAACGTCACTGGTAACACGAGCGTTCCCGAAGTCATTTTCCAAATTGTCAGTGGATTGGCGAATGCATTGGCAGGCGACTTTCTTAAGTACATGGACTCGTTCGCTCCATATCTCTACAATGCTCTGGGCAACCAGGATGCTCCTGACATGTGTTCCTTAGCCATTGGACTTGTCAGCGACATTGTTCGTGCACTGGAGGACAAGGCACGGCCATACTGCGATACATTTATGAATTACCTGCTCAACGATCTTAGGGTTTGTCGTCCCCCTCTTTATCTACTCGTCACATAAACTAACAACTATCTAAAGTCCGACAAGCTCTCCAACTCACTGAAACCACCCATCTTGGAGACCTTTGGTGATATCGCCACTAGCATTGGTGTACATTTTGAAACCTACGTCACTGTGGTCGCTGGCGTCCTCCAGCAAGCAAACAATGTGTCCGTCGCGAACGATGTCTCGTTCGATATGCTTGACTACATTGTGTCTCTCCGATCCGGTATTGCCGATGCATGGTCTGGTCTGATCCTGGCTTTCAAAGGCACCGAGAAAGGTACGATGCCTTCTAACGCGCACGGTTCGACGCTAACGAAGTGACAGCGCCCCTCCTCCAAAACTACGTGCAACCCATCTTCGAATTTTTACAGACCGTTTCTCAGGATATGAATCATAACGAAGGGCTACTCAGAGCTTGCATGGGTATTATCGCGTAAGTATCCCATCTGAGCACCGCTGGCCCTTGCTGACGATTGCAGTGACCTCAGCGAGACCTTCCCAGACGGATCACTTTCGGATTACTATCGACAAGATTGGGTCACCAAGATCATCAAGGAAACTCGGACCGCTCGAGATTTCTCACCCCGGACCATCAACGCGGCACGCTGGGCAAGAGAACAAGTCAAACGACAGACTCAACATCAAGGTACCATCATGAATGCCTCATGAACTTGATGTCGAGCATATCTCTTATCCCCAACATGATTATCCACTCCCCGGCACCATCACCGCCAGCCCCGAATTACCCTTGCCCGTTCACACCCCAGCACCAGCCCCAGCACAGCACCTTGAACCCCCCTGTCAGAGCGCTGATCACCGTTATGTGAAGGCCATTTCTCATCGCAAGCCAGTACCTTAGTGGGACGACTGGAACACGATGACAATGACTCATTGCAAAACGGAGAGAATGGTCACGTGGACAAGCGTCAACTCTCCGACGATCCCCGAAATGGCACTCGTGTTTCACCCCGGACTCCTGGCCCCCTCCTGCGGACGATGGCCCTGAACCCATTAACCTTTGCGCAACGGCTCGATCTCGAAGAGATGGCTCCGAACGTATCTCCTGCAACTGGTGCGTCGGCTCTTGGTCCATCGCACGTCCTTCCCGGTTTGCAGTCCCGTCTACGACCCCTAGATCATGGTACCTTCGTCGACTTCAAATCAATGTCGCCTCTAGAGTGGATGGCCATGGCCATCCACGGCCGCTCCCATGCTCTAGATGCAAATATGAATGGCTCGCCAGTGACGTTCGGTCACCGCTATGATGGAGACGGCGATTCCCCATAGCTCCCAGCCTTCGGCAGCCGATCGTTCAACGGAAGGGAGATGGCCGACATGGCAAGGGCACTTGCAAACGATAGAGAGTCTCCGGTTTGGTTCACCCATGGAAAGACAGAGAAGACTGTTCAGACGCAGGACTGGATGATTAGATTTGGCGATTGTTCGGAACAGATACACGAGACAGCCCCGTGATACCCCCTTAAAGACCCATTTCCCCTTTGCTTCGCTTCTTCCCTCTTTCCCCTTCTTCGCGTCGCTTCCCTTTGCATTTCAGCATCGCATTTGTCTGCTGGAATGTGGTCGAAAGCCCACTGCTTCGCGTTGTTAGACGTACGAAGGGTGCTGGCGCGAGCGACTGCTTGCTTGACCTGCATCGTCATGTCGAGTTGGGGCACCGTATTTTATTGACACATACACTATGACTTGATCACCTTTCCCGGGCTCCGCCTTGTGGTCATCATTCATATCCACGCGGAGGTTATTCGAGCATTGAGCTAGCTAGCAATTCAAACGAGAGGGCCATAATTTGTTCAGATTCGGGTCCTCAAAACCAGTCTAGCAAACGTGAGACTGTTGCGCTGAGGTGAAATATCGGCGATGACTACCCCACCAGATGGCACGTCGTGTTCTTCTTACGACCTGAGCTGAAGTCGAATCACTTATTCAGCCATGTCAGCTTCTAGAGGCCCGTAATATCTGATCCGAACAGAAACAGGAGAGTGATCTCTCGTACTGTCTTCAATCCCTTTACCTTGCTCACACAACGCCCGCGCCAGTCCGACTCGAATTCCATATACCATCCATGTCACCCCGTAGTCCACCACATACCTCGTCCCTCCCTCCACGTCTAGTTGCTCAGCTCAGGATCTGTCATTGCCCTCACGTTCCCCCAGGGTGAGGGGCGTAACTGACCAGTTGGCTAGCTTTTCGCCATCCTCGCCCTCGCAAACTTCCACCACAAACCATCCTGCAGATCGAAGCTCTGCTCGATGAGAAAGCGCTGGCTCTCGTCAGCGTAGTCGACGGGCTTCCGATAAAACAACCTCTCAACAACACATTCGACGCTCTGGCCGCGCTTGACCTCTCCGTCGACGCCGTTGGACTTTCCATCCTGGCTCACACGCCCGGTCTCGGAGATCAGCTCGTCGTACGCGCGTACCATCGTGCTGACGGGCGTGATCCACTCCTTGGGCCACACGGCCGTCACGTCCGAGGGGGTCATGCCCGTGTCGACGTACGCCGGCATGATGCAGTTGACGGCGATGTTGTCCGTCTGGTACAGTAGCGCGCCGACGGACCGCGTCAGCGCCAAAACTGCATGCTTGGTCGCGCAGTACTCCGGCGCCACGGGGAAGGGGTAGATGCCGGCGCAGGACGAGGTGATTACGATTTTCGGGTTGAACGGTGGTGACGGCGAGGTTGTCGAATCGGAAGCCAGCGACAGCGCCTTTGCCGTGCGCCGAGCGTAGTGCACGAACAGCTTGAGGCCGTAGAAGACGCCGATCTGGTTGACCTGCGTACACAGCATGGGCGGCTTCGTGGGCTCCTCCTCTTCTGCGGATGCCCCCTCCGCCGCGGACGACGGGCTCGCCAGCGCAATGTGCTCCTTCTCGGCCGTGCCGGCGTTGGCCGCGAAGAAGTCGATCCTCCCGCCAGACCAGGCAAACGCCGTCTTGAACAGCGCGGCCTGCGCGTCCCACGACCCGACGTCCGTTTCGACGAAGAGGTGCCTCTCGCTGTCCCTTAAGGCATCTGTGCCCGAGATGGCGGCGTATGCTTCAGGTCGGATGTCCGCGATCACCACGCGCCAGTCTGGCTTCGAGAGAAGGTGCGTCACCAGGCCCAGACCGATGCCGCTGCAGCCGCCTGGAAGAGAAGGGATTCGTTTAGGTTAGAAGCTGATTTGAAAGTTTGGATGCTTTTTTGTTTTCTCCTTTCTCTCACATACATTCTCTCCCCTCCCTCCCCCCTAGCCACAATCTCTCGTTTTCTCTTTCATGTAGGCGAGGGCTTTGGGGGAAGGAAAGGTAAAATTGTGAAGGGCAAATAGGGAAGAAAAGAAGATGGGGGAAAAAAAAGGGGGGGGGGGAAGATACCGGTGACTATTGCCGTCTTCATATTGATCCTCGTCGTTGTGAGATCACTTTTTCTTCTTTCCCTCTCTCTTCTCCTCCTGTTCTACTTCTTGTGGTTTTGAGGCTTGATCACAGAGGGACAGGCGCTGGAAGTATTGGATATTCTGTCGGGACAAGCCAACCCCCCAAAAACTCAAAAGTACCTAGCTGTGTATATCATGCAACAAGGGGAAAACAAGACGCGGGGGATGGATGGCGAGATGAGTGAAAGGAAAATAGATGGGGGCTTTTTAAAAGAGGCACTGACTGCTTTTTCGTTGTGAATGCCACTGGTTGTTACATATATCGTTCGTTCAGACTCACCCAACGCCAACAGGCTGGTTCGTGGTGGTACCGAGGTGTTGCAAGCCCAACTCCCGCTGAATTCTTCGGCTTCTGGTCCTGACACATGGTTGTCGAGTCGTAAACCAGGATCCTCTCCTCTCCTCTTCTCGCTTCTTCTTCCCCCCCAGCCATTTCCCGTTTATTTTAGCTTTTCTCCGTCTTCCTCCCCCGCAGAAGTTTGTTTTTGTCAATCGTGGTCTTGGCCAAATATGGAAGGGAATTTGAGGTCCGGGCCCGGTACGTATCTCTCCCGATGCATATGTTACTCTTGTTGCATCAGGCAATTGCAATCTCGTCACGGCCTGCGTGCATACAAAGGTGTGACTGATGCCTCCAACAAGGTTTGTCGGCGATTCCAGCAAAAGGAGGGGTTTACATGTAGTCTTTGCGGCCCGACTGCGCGTCGATAGATTCATACCCAACCTCCATATGGATACCACATCACCATTCTTCCACGGACTCGTCAAACCCATTCCATTTTTCTTGGAGTGAAGAGTCCTTTACTGGGCTATTAAGGGGCGGCATTCAGACCTTTGACTGCTGGTCATGCACGGCCCACAGTGGTGCAATGGTTTCCACAGCCCTCTCCACGACGGCTTTGATGCGATCTCGCAGGACCCCGTTGGCGCATTCCACGTCGAGATTTTCCAGCCATAGTTTTGCCACGTGTTTGTCGAATCGGATTTCCAGACCCGGGACGGGAATTCCTGCGGCAGCTAGCCTTGCGCGCTCTGCTGCCTCAGCCTGTTCGAGATCGGCTTCCTCGTCAGATGCATCTGCACCTTCGTCCTCGTCCTCTTCCTTTTTGACCCCTTCGGCCCCGGACAGCAGGGCTTTCCGGTTGGGCGGGTTGGTCTTGCGCGGCTTCTCTATGGGGGTGATATTGTCGCCGAATTGTTCTTCGAGGAACATGCACAGTCTTGAGAATCGATCTTGTGGAGAGAGATTGGTCAGTTCGTTAGTCAACGCCTTGACACCGTTCTTTTCATGCTTGTGGCCGTGGTGTGAATGTGCCGATTTGCTCGACGAGTATTTGACAGCTGCCGGACTGCTCTCAACCGTCATGAGCACGGCCATGACTGCGTCTGCTATGCCGTCGTTCATTGTGTTGCCCTCCCATTCGAGTTCGATCTGCTTTTCTCTCCCCAACCATTTGAGAGTGACGCAGCCCATGATGAGGAACGTCCGCTGTGGCTGGGCAACAATTTCTTCGTCGGCTTCTTCTTCCTTGTCCTCTTCGGCTTTGACTCCGTTTTCCCCATTCCTCTGGTCGGCTTCGACCTTGACAGGATGCCCATTTGGTTCGGACTTAATGTGACCGACTTCCTCAATGCTGCCAAAGGTGCCTTCGAGTGCCCATCTAATAAGCTCGACCCCGGCTGCGGCAAGTGTGATATGTTGTCGGCATAAAATAGTCGTCGTCGTTAGGCCCGCGTACTCGCGAAGATCCTCTGGGGCCATCAGACTGAGCTTGAAGCCGTTCTGCACGAGTACTCCACTGATCACTCGCGTCTCATCCGCTTCGGCAGACGAAGGGGGAGGTATCTGCGCCAGCTTTCCGACGACCTTCGCCACTTTATCCTTTCTGAAGGGGATTTTGATCTCTGCGCCGTTCTCCGGGCTGTACACTTTTGTTTGCTGTGCGTTTGGGTTGCTCGCAAATCGGCGGGAATTTAGATCTAGCAGTCTTGATCTGAGGCGTGCGGCTTGAGAGCGTTCTCCGTGCACCAGAATAACGTGGGGTGCATCAACTTGCTGAATGAAATCTACGTTCTCAACCCCTGTAACATGGGCTGCGAACTGAAACTCCTCAACCGAACACCGTCGAGGTATCATCACCGCGGCATCATCATCTTTGTTCCTGCGGCCCATTGTGTGGCCCAGACCAGTGTTTCCACCGCTCATGATCGCTGGAATCATTTCTGGTTCGGACAGGATGGTCCGGCCCATGGTCCCTTCAACGTTATAACCCGTCATTATGACCCCGTTGCGTTGATCTGGTGCCCATCTTTCGAGTAAGATGCGAGACATGCCTGACTGCATCATACCGGGCGAAGCTAACATTACACATCCTCCTACGTCGTCAAATCGGTCTAGATTTCGCAAGCTTCGCACGTAGCGGAAGTCCCAGGGGCCTGCACTGACACCTTTCGCATTGCCAGCGGCTTCGGCCTCGGCCATTCTCTCTCGAAAGATGCGTTTGATGTTGTCGTTCATCGCATTAATATAGGTCTGATACACAACCATGCATTTTCGTGCCGTGTTGCCGGTATAATAGATGGGAAACTTCTGGAGCTCGGGATGCCGCTGCCAGTAGTCCTCGAGGATGAGCAAGAGTTCCTGTGCCCGACCAAGGGCAAATACTGGCATCAAAACTTTCCCGCCGCGATTCAATATATTGGAAACAGATTTCAGGAGAGCAGTTTCTCTCTCTGCGCGTGGTGGGGCGTTTGAGATGCCAAATGTCGATTCCGTGATAAGACAATCGATCTTGCCCACGCTCGCAACGTTTGGAACCTCGGCGGCTACGAGATGTCGATCCTGTTC